AGCAAACAACCTAGAAAGTACAAACTAGAACATGATGAAACAACACAGTTCAAGGTTACTATCATAACTTCTCAGACTATGTCCATTCTTGCCCAAGTGTCAGCCTCAGAATTGTGGTCCCTTCTTTTCTCCCATCATGCCATTGCCAGGCCAGGCCTATCATTTCCATTTTTCTGGAAATAACACCTTGACCATGGCACTTGACCTTCTTGAAAATGCTTGTTCAGCCAAGTAGCTTTCAGGTCCTTGATGATACTCATAGAATGAGGGACAAATTTGGCAAGTCTTATGCCCAATATTATCCTTTCGTCATTGCTGGGCGATGTTTAACAACATACTCTTAGCGAAATGAGTGAAGTGGAGGAGAAAGTGTATGGAGAACATTTCTCACTGTTCCCACCCTTTGTAATCATGCTTTGTAAGCTGTTGATTTCCTTGTTTTCTTCTTCTGCATTTCTATCCCTGCTCAAATTTGTCTACTTGCCAGTTTACCCGTGACATTGGAAAATTATTTACAAACATCAGTGACTTATTCAGCCTTTTGTAGACTTTTCTCCCTGCCCTCATCCATCTCCTGGGTGCACTGTATGGCGTTTAAATGATATCTCAATTAAACTCTGCTCCAACGAGAGAAGGAATCAGGAAGAGTACTCGCTGTTGTGTCCAACAAATTTGAAAGAAAGGAAGAAGAAGGTTGTCCTTGTTCAGGGATGATAATGGTGTAAAGTTGGCAGATGCCCTGAGCCCACGCTGCCAGGTTTTGGATATGACATCATCAGGCAAGGGGTGAAATGGTGATTTTTTTTTTTTTTAGGCAGAGAAAGCAGCATAGGCTACATCCTATTAAAGACATCAATTGTGTGTCCAATAATCTGCCTTCCACACAGGCCAGGACAGATGAGGCCATAAAAAGTCATTAACAACAGTTAATTGTACATTCTTGTACCATAGGAGACATAGTGCTGTCCCAACCCCAGTTGGCTATCCATCCTTGCCCTGAATAGTCAACGTTTGTGTCCTTAAGATTTAAGTGAATTCATTTCTCTTTTCAAGAGGCCCTTCCTAGGCTGGGGTGTGAGCATGCTGGCTTCCCCATCTGTGAGCTCCTGCACTGACTCCTCATTTTCATCTCATGCCTAGTGACCTTATACGTACGTGCAGTTTAAGCTCCAGAACCATCAGTCATTTATTGAGCACTAAATGTATGCAAAGAAGGCTGTTGGGCCCTGTTGAGGAGAAAGGAAGACTAGAATTTGGTTCCTTTCCGAAAGTAGTTCTAAGTTTCCTAAAGCTCAAACTCACTGGCGTCAGTGCGACCACAGGGCAGGGTAGAACTTTGCCAACATTCCCAAGGCATCACTCTCTATGGAAGCCGACTGCCTCCTTATTCTCCCCCATAACAGCTGCTGGGTTCCAACCACCTTTGCGTTGACAGATGAATATTCCAACCACTGTACCACCAGGGCTTCTCCTGAGTTTGCTAAGGCATTCCCTTCCACCATGGTTAGGAGTTCTGGTGGCCTAGTGGTATGGGGTTGTGCTGTCAACCCAAAGGAACAGAGTTTGGATTTACCAACTGCTGTGAGGGAGAGAGATGGACAGTCTCCTCCCCCGCAATTTATAGCTGCGAAAAACCCACTCCGGGAACAGCTCTGAGTTGGTTTTGACTTAACAAATAACAGCAGCACCATGATCACCTGCTACAGAAGCTTATCTGTAAATAACAATAGCGAAAAGTCATAAAGCAGAACAGAAGAGGGACTACTCAGAGAGCAGGACGCACTTCTACTTAGACCTCATTAACCTTATGGCTTTAGTTTTAAGGGAAGTTGGAAAACGTAGTCTTTTTAATTGAATGGCATTGTTTCCAGGTACAAATTACAGTTCTGTTCCAATGTAAGGGAGCTCAGGCAGCACTGTCAGTAGGGAGTCGTGCGGTGAATCCAAACAAGGCACCTCTCTTACCCACTGGTGGCTCCACGGTAGGAACATGTGCCGTCTTCTCCTGTGTAATTTACAACCTCCCAAAAATCCACTGGATGGTCAGCTATGAGTTGCTTCTGACTTGATGACAATGGAATTTCAAGTTTGAATTTCTATGAATGAAGAGAGAATGAATTTCATGAGGCAATTACCAATGTCTATCTCTGAAGGTATCAACAAGTTTTTTAAAAAGCAAGGACATAAGCAAAAACCCCAAAATCCATTGATGTAAAACTTGATTTCTCATAGTAACTCGTGTTGTGTTGTTGATTGTCATCGAATCAAGCTCGACTCATAGCAACTCTACGAACAAAAGATCTAATGCCTTTTCATAACTATCGGTGTTTCTCCAAGTTCATAGAATTTTCAGAGGCATGTGGTTTAAGAAGTGGATGCCAGTTCTGCTTCCAAGCCTGTTGTTTTACAACCTGGAGTTCCACCAAACACTATCCATAATGGGAAACCATTCTGGTATTTGATACCCCAATGGCACAAGGTTCAGCATCACAGCAACCCAGGTTACTTCATACAGCACATTGACAAAGAGTGATGTACAAAGCGGAAGAATATTCCTCCAGACAAAACAGCAATAGTCTCATTTAGCAGTGGTTAAGTGTTGTCAAGTCGAATATGACTCATAGTGACCCTTGCACAAAAGACTTGAACTCTGTTCTTTAACTAACATTATTTCTGTAAGTTTATAGAGTTTACAGAGGCATCTAGTTTAGGAATTGGATGCCAGTCCTTCTTCCCAATCTGAATCAATCTGGAAGCTCATCCAAACATTGTACATAGTGGGTAACCATTATGGTATTTGACACAACTATTGCACAGTGTTCAGCATGACAGCAACTCCAACTTATTCACTAGAGCAAATTATCACTTAAAGAGTGAATTTAAAGAAAACTTCCCTTACATGACCACCATCAAGAGGTTACTGCCATCAAGACACTAGCAGCCAGCTCCTAGAGTGGAGGCTCCAGGCTCCAGGGCAGCCCGCATCCCCTCACTATGGGATTTCAAGGACACACCCTTTAGCAGGCCTCCACCCTTGGTCAAAAGTTCAATGGACACCTACTTTTGGAAGGGGAACAGTAATACACATCAAACACGACTGAAAAGTTCCCTTATGTGGCCACCATCAAGACTTGACTTCCATCAAGATACTAGCAGCCAACTCCTAGGGCATAGTAACTCATACTGACCCTATGAAATAGAACATAACTTTCCCACAGGGTTTCCAAAGCTGAAATCTTCCTAGAGACAAATTTTTACATCTCTCTCCCCCAGGGTGGCTGGTGGGTTTTAATAGCAAATCTTTTTGTTTAGTCCCTGAGCTATTTGGCCATGGTGCCACCAGAGTGCTCCTGTTTTAAAATCCCCCTCATTGCCGCTGAGTAGGAATCAACACACAGCTGACCATTTCCAAGGCTGCACATCTCCCTCTAAGTCACTGAGGAATGTGAACCACCTTCTAATGTCTCCACCTTCTCATTAATAGCGAAACTCCTCCTTATAGACTATGCCTCTGAAGATTCATGGCTAGACCACCACTGATGAAAAACAAATCCACAAAAAAATTCCCAGGGAAGAGTGTGCATTAAAGTAACAATTTCTTTTAAAGGGAGCCAGAGGGAGAAGCACCAGTGAATAGATGCAGAAGGACAAGAGTGAGCCAAATATCTTCATTAACTTTGACAAGTCGGAGAATATTGGTAATGATGTTGGAGAAAACTTTTTCAAGAGCTATTAAAGCTAATGCAGGAGTCTTAGGGTTCATGGGATTAAATGTTGGGTAGTTAACTGAAGAGTCATTAGTTCAAAGCCACTACTTGCTCCTCTATGGGGTTGGGGGGTGTGGAGGATGGCAGAGCAGGGATGAGGCAACCTGCTTCTCTAGAGATTTACAGCCCTGGAACCCTCAAAATTAGTTCTATACTCTGTATAGTGTCATTGAGATTGAGGATCAACTCAGTAACAGTGGGTATGATTTTAAGGACTCTCAATGGAGCAATTGCCAATATATGGTTCTTTTTCTGAATATCAAGGAGCTAAAAATGTGTTGCAGCAGAGAAAGATCCGCAAAAACCACAGCTGGAAAGGAAATGAGTCAAGGGCTGTGGCGCTAGAAGGGAGATTGTGTCTGATTTTAAAGACAGATGGTAGAGATTAGATGGTAGGTGCCACCTAGCAGGTAAAGAAGAAACATGGAAAATCTTAAAACAACAGATAAACAGCCAGATGGTCTCTGGGTTAGGGTTATATATATGGGTTTTTTAAAAAATTATTTTAATGAAAGTTTACAGAGACTTAGGGTTTCCATTCATTCATTCTTGCACTTTTCTCCCTGCCCACCGCTTCCCCTCAATTCACTTATATTTTTATCAAGTTAAAGGAGATTTTCCAAGACCTTAGGCTTCCGTTTTCAAATTATTTCTTTTAACCTTTAAGGCTAACCTTTAATTAAATCAATTTTAGTCAATACATTAACATTCTTTCTTTATTCTGTAAGCTCCATGAGAGAGTCGTCTTGCTCATTTCGACCACCGATGTCCAACACATTGCTTGGCGTTGATTATAGCGCCCTATGTCAATTGATCAAAGGCAGAAAGGCAAACTGGGATATCAGTTCCTATTTTGTCACGATTTCCAGCAAAGCACAGAAGCCTATGGAGTTCCCAGTGAAGAAAAGAGCTATGAGGAGGGAGAAGCTGGGGCTGCAGTAACTGCCCCGACCTGCACAGACAAGTGAAATAAAACCCCAGACTTTATGCTAAAGTGGCCCGTCCAGGAAGCGACGGAACCTTAGAGCAAGGGAAGCAGGCGTGGCGGAAGCCGGAGGCGAAGGAACCCTGAGGCCCCTGAGCCTGGAGGAGACGGAACTTCCGGGCAGTGGAACCTTGGTTCCAGCGGAACTGATCCGCCGCGTCCCCGGGGCCACCCGGACAAGGCTTGGAACGGAAGCGCAGGGGCCGCGGTTTCCGGCTTGCTGGCAGGCGCCGAGGGCGGGGTCCGCGATGTTGCCCTACACGGTCAATTTCAAGGTGTCGGCTCGCACCCTCACGGGGGCCCTCAGCGCCCACAACAAGTCGGCAGTGGACTGGTGAGGGCGACGGGCGCGAGGCCGCTCAGGCTCGGCCAGAAGTTTGTAAGGGGGGGAAGGAATGCGAGGTTACACTGTGGCTGGTCCGGCCTCACGGACGCTGGGTGCCAAATGCTGTTGTTATTAATCAGTGCAAAGAAAGAAAAAGGAAGCAGTATCCCACCTTGCAAGATTCCCCTGTGCAACTGCATCTGGCCTTTTGGGCCCATTCATGTTTCTCTTTGGGGCCTCCTCTCTTCCTTGTCATATGACATTCCTGCTCCTCTTCCAACTGCTGGACTTCTCTCTCTCCACCACCAAAGCCCCTACCCGCGTCATCTCCCCCATTCTCACTTGTATTTCTCTAATCTCGATTTTTCACATTTGCTCCTTCGACAGTCCGCCCGATCCTTTCTGGCTTTTCTCTAGGACCCTTCCATCCACAACAGGTCTTTTACTTTCTGCTATTTTGCTGTAGAAAATAACACTGCAGCTCTGGGGAGGGATTAAATAATACACATAGATGGGCACAATTCTATTGCTGGGGCTCCTGACAATGTTGTCAAGATGACGGAAACCGGCATCGATGTCCAGCCTTTGTCCTTTCATCTGCCTGGAAAGGTGATGCTTGTGTGACTCATAGCTGAACTGCTAGTGATTGGCCGCACATTTTCTTATCCCCGGGCCCCCAGAGCTGAGCCGCAGATGATTTAGCTAGTGTGGTGGCAAGCACTTTGTGTTTCCTAAAGTTCAGAGTTGAGTAAAACAGTGCCTCTAATAAAGGCAAGTACAGAGACAGCTCAGCTGTCCTTTATACCTTTTCATGACCATATGAGTGTTTGTTAATGACCTTTTTACAGAATGAAAAAATGAATTTCAATAAGCATTTTAAAACGTGGACCTTTTACTTAAATGGGAATATGTCAAATACTGACTTCTGGGCTTAGAAGTAATGGTGCTGGTGGTGGTAACATTTTAATTAGATTTATCTAAGAAGACATGAGAGAAGTTTAGTTCTGCTTTTCCATAGATACTTAAGTTTGAACATTACTGTCTTGTCAGGGGCTGGCAAGGTTTAATTGCTTATGGATGTCATTCGCTTGTGGTTGTGAGCGATTCCAACACTGCCCAGACTCTCCAAGTTCTAGAGAAGCATAAAGCTGATGTTGTCAAGGTGAGTCCAAGCCCACTGTGACCCCGTAGGTTGTATTTTCAATTTTCCACAGTTTTAAATGCCACTAGCTTTTTTTGGTGTGAAATGTTGACTGACTTTCAAGTAGGAGCCATGGTGGCACTATCGTAACACCTGGCTGTTAACCAAAAGGTAAGTGGTTCAAATCCACCCACCACTCTGCAGGAGAACGATGAGACCATTTGCGTTGCAAAGATTTATAGCCTTGGAAGTCCCTGGGGAATTATGTTCTATGCCATAGGGTCACTGTGAACTGGAATTGATTTGGTGTCAGTGGATTTTGTATGGGTTTTTTTTTAGTTGGTTTTGTTTTGATTTTTTTTAGCTTTTAATCTGTAATCTTTTTGGTGCAGGCTATCATATCTGACTTAATGTGAAATCAGATGAGCAATTAAATGCTAGTTCTTAAGTAATTTTTAAGCTGATAATAAAAACACTGGTCCTGCTACTTATTACGCTACTTATTCATGTATTAGTGTTAAGCACTGAGTCTTTGTTGAGGATGTTGAGGTCAAAGCCCCTGGGTAAAGGTTGTGTATTGAGAAAAACAAAACCACGGCATCAGTACTGCATGCTAAATGAGACATGCATGATGTGCTGTGTGGAAACAATCTCACCTACTTGTGAGGGTGGGGAGAGGCAAAAAAAGGCATTCCCGATTAGAGAATGCTCAAACAGTAGTTAGCCAACTGAGAAGTCATGGAAGTAACATTGCAAGCACGAGGAAGAATAGACAGAAAAGTAACTGGTTGTTGACAACTATCCTGGATGCATTTGTGAGAGTGGTAAAAGAGACAGCCAGAGAGATCAATCTAACCTAAGACTACAGAGAGTTTGGATTTTTAAGTCGGAGACAGGATGGAGCTGCATTGTATAAGAAAGGCACTCTTGCTGACGTAGAAAAGGCGTGTTGGACACAGACTAAGTTGGAGATAGTGAGGGCATCCAGGAGGCTACGCTGTGGTTTTGGCAGGAAATAAAACAAAGTTGAGAAGAAGAGCTATTTAGGAACGCCTTTGGAGTCAGTGTGATCCTTAAAGGCATAGGTGGTGAAACTTCATCTCTCTTGCTTTGGGCATGTTGTCAGGAGCTATCTGTCCTTAGAAAGGACATTGTGCTTAGATAAGTGAGGGTCAGTGAAAGGGACAAAGACCCTCAACAGAATGAATTGACACAATGATTGCAGCAGTGGGCTTGAGCGTGGTAGAGATTGTGAGGATGGTGTGGGTCAGGGTGAGGTTTTGATCTGCTGTTCATAGGGTTTCTGTGAGTCACAGTTGACTCAGCAGCACCTAAAAACACAAAGACAAAGAGTCTAAGGTAGGATGATGGGAGCCACAAACTACAGGGTGGAAGAGCTGAGTACCTGATGCCTCTGGACTGTAGTCAGCAGAGCTAGGCTTGTCAGCCCAGGGAGTGACAGAGCGGAGCGCCTTCAGGCTTCCTGGTGGAGGTGTAGGGTCCCTCCAGGTGCTTACTGGTAAAGCTATCTCTCTAGCTTAACGCTTACCTGAGCATGGCAGAGACTGGCAGAGATCCAAGAGGCCTGAAGGGTTAGGAGGCCAACAAAACCAGAACCTTGTCCTTGAGGAGAGAAGGAACAGAGGTAGTAAGTAGAACTATCTTGGTCTCAAACATTAGGAGCACAACCTCTAGGGCCTCAAAGGGTGGGGCCGTGGTCAAGGGGCAAAGATGTAGCCATTGAGGTGACAAAGAGTCGGAACTTGACCACTTTAGTTCAGGATGAGTGTGGTGCTGTTGTTCAAAGGGGCCAGAGGGGCTGGACCAGATCAGTAGCCCCAAACTTGGAACAGAGATGTCATGTCCAGAGGACATAAGGCCTGCCAGAACCAAGGGGGTCGGGTCACCATTCACGGGTTATAATCACGTGGAAGGAGATTGCCCAACTTTTACTCACGGAGCCACTGCTGGATGTGAACCTTCAGAGAGGCTCTGCCTTTGGGTCAGCATCATTAGAGCTTCTTGGCTGATAGTAAGGACTGTTTATTTTATTCCTTGCTCTTCAATAGTCACATTCTAGGAATTGAACCAGGGGCTGGTGCCCTAGAATTCATTCTCATTCTCTCTCTCTCTCTCTCTCTCTCTCTCTCTTTTTAGATCAAATAGATTTCGTCTTTTTAATGTACACATTATATTTTTGTGAATTCTTAAAGGTATGAAGAGATATAGTTGGGTGTTCTTTTTTTAAGAGAGAAATATTTTTCCCCAAATTTTGTAAGAACTTGTGGAATTCCCCCCCCCCCACCCGATTTTCCTCCAGCAAAGTTTTTGTATCTATTGGTTATTGCCTCTTAGTTGGGAGAATAAAATACAGAAAAATATCTTCTGTCAGAATTTCAGGTTTTTAGATATTCGATCATAATTAAAAGTAGATCTGATGAGATAGTGTGTAACACAATCAATTGTTCAGGAGTTTGAATCCACCAGCTGCTCCAAGGGAGAAAGATCAGCATCTTCCCCGCAGGAAGATTTAGAACTTGGGAAATCCAGTGGAGGGATGCTGTGAGTTAGAACTGATTCCAAGATAGTGAATTTGGATTTTGTGGGACATAATAATTAAAGACGTTCTCCAGGGAGCTCTGGTGGCCTAATGATAAGAAGCTGTGCTGCAGTTCCGAAGGCATGCAGCGCGAAGCCTTGATCCACGGAAGAAGAGTGGGCAGTCTCCTCCTGTGCGATTTACTGCCTCAGAACACCAGCTGGAAGGTCAGCTCTGGGTCGATTCTGACTTGATGGTACACTACCACCAGCACCACCACCACAACAGTGGTCCCGTGGTTAAGGCACTTGATTGCTAATCTACAGGTCGGTCGATGGTTCAAACTTGCCAGCCTCGGGAGCCCTGAACCAGTTCTGTGCTGTCCTACAGAGTTGCTGTGGGTCAGGATCAGCTTGATGGCAGTGGATTTGGTTTTGATTTATTTTAAATAAAGGAGCCCTGGTGGTGTAGCACTTAAGAACTTGCCTGCTAACCAAAAGGTGCATGGTTCAGCCCTGTTGGGTGTGGCAGTCTGTGTCGTCCTTAGAGATCAAAGCAGTGGAAGCCGACTGGCTGCCCCACTCTGTCCTCCAGGGTAGCTGTGACTCAGAATTTGCCTTGATAGCAGTGGGCTTGGGTTTGGTAGCACAATGAAATTTTAGAAATACTAATATCCATGGCTTCTTTGAGAATTAATGTGGATTTCCAAAATCATTAACGCTAGGCATTTTTTTATATTTTAAAGGCGGAAACATGGTGATTTTTAAAATATATTTTAATGACAACTTTAGAAATATACTCACAATGATAAAAATGTATAACTTTTAGTATGGAAACTAGTTTGCTGTTTATTCTTACTAAATAATATTCTTATAATACTCATGTCATTTCAGTTCTAATTGCTTTGTGGAAATGTATGTTTCCTTTTGTCTAGTGTGAGTACTTAGTTGACTTGATTTTTTTACAAACTAGGTTAAATGGGCCAGAGAGAATTATCACCATAACATTGGCTCTCCCTACTCGTTGCGCTTAGCCTCTGCTGACGTCAGCGGGAAGATCCTGGTTTGGGATGTGGCCGCGGGAGTAGCTCAGTGTGAGATCCAAGAACACACCAAGCCCATCCAGGGTGAGCAGAGCGCCCGTGCCCAGTGCTTCCGTGCAGCCATCCCCTGGGGTGTCCGTTCATCCCTTGTTCACCCTCTCCCGATCAGCTCCTGATGGTTGGGTCAGTTCTGTTCTCCTGACTTGAGCCGCATGGTCTTTTCCTTATCAGTCACTGGTGGTAGGTCCTCAAATCTCTACCATTTGTGCTTAGGCAACTCTTCCTAATACCAATGTCAGCCTCATTGAGTTATATCATGAGAGAGATGAAACTGTTAAAAATTGAGGGACATCATGCTTGGTAGGGTGGAGGGACAGTACAGAAGGGGAAGTGCCCTCTATGAGTTGGATTGATTCAGTGACTGGGGTAATCGGGATGGGTGTATCGGAGACGGTGCGATTGGCCCAGGACAGAGGAGTTAGGGCTGTTGTACATAGGGTCACTGTGAGTCGCAAGCGTCTCAACAGCACATAACAACAACAACAACAAACTATAAGTCAACTGGCCTGAGCTGTTAATTTGAATTAAGCCTTGGTGCTTAATTATTTTGACAGAGATGATCAGAATTTTATTCTCACATTTATATAGACTATTCATTTTTCTTTATTTGTAGTATTCACTTAAGATCAATACTGTAGACTTTAGACCCAACAGTTCGATTGAGTGGCTTTCCCAATAACACTTTATTGGGTGTATAATATTCACTAGGTGCTGAGCTATGTCTTTGTGAACTGCGTGTTCATAAATATCTTTTTCCATGAATTTTTTAAAATAATGATAAAACTTGTAGAGTTTCATTAGGTAGTGTTACACAGGCACTGCTCAGAGTCTCTGAGGAACTGAGTTTTGTAAAATCGGAGTGCTCTTTAGAGGCAGAGATGGTGACACTTCATCTCAGATGCTTTGGACGCGCTGTCAGGAAAGGCCAACCTCAAGAAAGACATCGTGTCGGGAGTTCACGCAGAGAGAAGACTGTCCCCAAGATGGGTTGACACAGTGACCGGAGCAATGGGCTTATGCTTGTTAGAGGTCGTGAGGGTGATACAGGATGTGGCAAGGGTCACTGTAGTCAACTCCATGGCACCTAACAACAACAATGGAAATGACCTTTTTATTTTACTGCAAACTGCTAAAAAACGGTTTTAGATTTTATTTTATTTGAAGTCATATTTCTGATTGCTTAAAAATGTCCAACTGGAGATTTTTACAAGGTATCTAATTTTTTAATAAAATTAACTTTTTTGGTTACACACACATACATACATATATAATATTTGGGCATATAGTCTAAGAGCCTAAGTCTTGAGGGCAAGTCAGCAGTGTCTGTGGACGTGACGGTTTCAGGATGTCCCCTTTGTGCTTGGGCTTCCCCGCAGACTTGCAATGGCTGTGGAATCAGGATGCTTCCCGGGATTTGCTGCTCGCCATCCACCCTCCGAATTACATTGTGCTGTGGAATGCAGACACTGGCACCAAGCTTTGGAAGAAGAGCTATGCAGATAACATCCTTTCGTTTTCTTTTGACCCTTTTGATCCCTCACACCTAACACGTGAGTAGTATTTGCTTGTGCGAAATGAGTGAGACGTGTAGCAATTCATATTATATGTAATAGACGCCTCTCTACGTTGCATACCTGTCCTGTTACAATGGCTGATGCAGATAGTGAATCACAAGCTCCTATCATTTGTGAATATTTTGTAATTAAGTTAGCCAGCCTCACCTTCACCTCAGGTTACATTGCGCAGGAAGAGTTGATTCTGTCAGACAGGACTATAAATGTCTTTCTTGGAACACTTCAAAAACTCACATTCAGAGTTTCATTTAGTCTGTGTCCAACTTAAGTTCTTCCTTTTTAAGGACAAATTCTACTTTATACCATTAGTTGAGTACCATAAACAGATGTATGTAACTCAGAGACTAGGCCAAAAGGAACCTTTTCATGTAGAAGAGGTGGTTTTTTCATTGAAAAACTACTTTGAAAAGTAGACTTGCTTATAAAGTTATTTTTGTGACTCTAATATTTGTTGTTGTTAAAACCTTCTTTTTCAGTCATCCAGTAGCTAATTCTTGAGTACTTTGTGTTAAGCTCTGTTTTGAGACCTTGGGATTCGTTTGAGATGGAGGTCCAAGGTGGAGATTTCTGCCATCAGGGAGTTTCTATCATCAAGAAGAAAAACATATATTGCTGAGTGGTGCTGCCTGCCTTGAATATTTCAGTCACATTTAAGGCGATGCCACACTCTTCCTCCCACCCCTCCCCCTCCCCAAATGTAAATGGGAAAGGACACTCCTTAGATGTCCTGAGACTTAAGCTGATGCGTAAGAAGAAAATGTGTTTAGACTTAGTGACTCAAGCTGCTCAAGCTCATGATAATCATAAAAAATTCAGTAGCACAAATCAAATATTTGAGCTTAGCTAATTAGAATATGCAGGGCCTCTTGTATCTAGGCCTTTTATTCCTCTGTAACTTTTTTTAATTTTGAAAAGTCATTACAATGTGAAGTTTTGGGATATAACAAGAAGAGGTTTTTCATGATAGTTCGTGTACTGAATCTAGTTGAAAGAACAAACATTTGTTCGTTCTGCCAGTAACCTTCTGGTGTCTTTAATAGAAAGCAGTCATTTAGGATGCTGGGTATGGAGCCCTCTGATGAATGGTAATGGGCCACCTGTTCCTTTTCAGCTTGGGAAGCGTTCCCACCATGCTTGGACTGCCAGCTCTGTATTCAAATGATCATTACCTTGCTTTTGAAATTGTACTGGGATAAAACCGCTAAAGCTGATTAAACTTTAATCAGGGTTTTGTTTCTCTCCATTCAGTGCTCACCAGTGAGGGTATTATATTCATCTCTGACTTCTCTCCATCCAAGCCGCCTTCTGGCCCTGGAAAGAAAGTGTACATCTCCAGCCCGCACTCCAGCCCAGCTCATAACAAGCAAGCTGCAGCCACCGGGGCCAAGAAGGCACTTAATAAAGTGAAAGTTTTGATCACTCAGGAGAAACCTAGGTAAGTTAAAGGTTTGAAACAAACAGCATTTTCGTGTGTACCAGGTATGATAGCATCATTGTTAGAGCTGTAGTAACGTTGGTTTCTTCTTCAACTTACTCTTTCCTATCTTTAATTCTGGATTCACACACACACACACACACACCCCCATCCACCCACACACATACACACCCACTCACACTCCTTATTTTCTGTGCAGAGGAGAGTCAAATTTGTACATGATTTCTTTTCTCACTAGTTATGCAAAATAATACCCACTGATATTTATAGAGCAAAATTGTTGACTGACTGCCTGAGTTTTATTTCTAGCAATGTGAAAGGAAGGTTAGGTTGTTCAGTACACTAAAATTTCACCCCAGTTTTGACTGCATTTTCCTTTTAGATACATCTTGATTAAGATGCATTTATTCTTAACCAGTAAAATAGGGGTTTTTCCTTTTGCAAGTGAAAGTGTTCTCAGTTCTCGTTAAGGACCAGAGATCTGGGGAAATGGCCTTTGACTCCATTGGGTTTTGAAGAGGCTATAAGTTGTCCAGGAAGAGATTGCCCATCTTTCTCCCTTAGAGCCAATGTGTATTCTAACTATTGGAGAGGCGCCACCTTTGGGATATCAGTGCAAGTCCCCATGTACTATGACACCAGAGCTTTCTCTCAAATACTTTCCTATGTTTGAAGTAGGGCTATAAGGGGTTTTATAGGATGTGGTAAGAATGGATACATACAATAAAAACCAAACTTAGTGCTGTTGAGTTGATTCTGACTTGGCCACATTCCGCCAGGTTTCCAGGGCCATGAATCTTAAAGAAAGGAGACTCCTCGTCTCCATCCTATCAGCATGTGGTGGCTTCAGACCACCAGATATGATGCCTTTGTATTAATTGCAACCCGCCATGAACTAAGCTACCAGAACTCCTCTAATACACATAATAAGCACTAAAATAGTGATTAATACTTGGCAAGCGTTTATTTAGTAACTGCTGCGTATTATTTATGTAAGAAGTAGCTTCTGAATAAAGTTTTATTATAAATGATTGATTGCATGCCTTAGAAATAGTTGGGGTTTTTTTCTTTTATATAGGGCTGTGATTGTTCTTGCATTTTTAATGCTCTAACAGGGTTTTTGGACTTAGTTTATAGTCTACATTTTTAATATGCTGAAATTATTTAGATCTATATTTTGTATACAACTTTCTGAAAAAAATAGAAATTGTTTTGCAAATGCTTTCTGAATTTGCATGTAAATATAATTTTGTATTATAATATAATTTTATATTAAATCATAGACTTATTAAAAGCACTAATTATTTCATTCACTCTCTTTTGCCAAAGTTATATAAGATTGCTACTTTGATATCTTAGGAGAATTTACAGATTCATTTTCATCGCTGCCCTGTCATAAATATTTACCAGTATAAATGGTTGTAGAAGTATAAAGTATAAATGATAATTTATGTATGTCATATGCTCTGTCACGTAAAGCATCTTGAACATTTGCTTCAAAAGTAAATTACTTACCTTTCAAAAAAAACTGCTGTAGGTGTTTTTACATGCTTTGGTAGTTTTGATATGATCTAGGGTAGTAATGCCATTCCCATTTTGCAGATGAGGAAACTGAGTCCAGATAATTTTGAATATGTTTGTTACTCAAGTTCACCTACCTAGGAAGTGGAAGGGCGAGAATTTTAATATAGTCCAAATCACTCTCTAATTCTAGAAATTAATTTTCAATTATAAAATACTTTAATAAAATTACTATTTAAAAAGAAAATATTGCGTGGTTATTATGTCTACTCCTCTTGATACTTAATATAAAAATAGTTGTGGTTACATAATAATCACAAATTACAAAATAATTTCCTGAAGGTCTTCAAGTATTTTCTGACCCCCTTACAGTTACAGTTTTGTTGCAGTTCTAAAGATAGTGTGGTACAGGCAAATAGATAATACCACTTTGTTTTGAAAAGGTTCCATCGTAGTTTAAAGTGAATGCAGGTGCAGTCCAAGCCCCACTGGATTCATTGACCAGGAAGAGATCCTAGGTAGAGAGGGCCTAGTGTCCCCTTTCACTGACAGTGGAGAAACTGAGTCTAAAGAAGAGGAAGTAAAAAAAAAAAAAGAGGAGGAAGTAGTAAGGAGCTCAAGGCTACATGGATAATTAGTATCATTGACTCCTTATACTCCAGTACATTAAATACCTTGAACATTTTGTTTCAATCCTGAATTTTTATTTTAGCAATCCAGCAGTCTGTCTAGTATTTTTTACATTATAAAAGACAAATGCAAACACTGCCATTTGAGTACCAATATAGTTCTTGCTTGCTGGTTCCCATCTCCTATCACAGATAAAATACTTATTAACTTTAAATTTTTCGACAACCAGAACATGGAAGTGCACAGCCAGTGCAAACAATCTTTTCTTCACAACTGAGATTTGGGCAGCCTGAGTGTTTCAAGCGAACCCATGTTGGCCATTTTGGAAAGTAGTGATACTTTCTCGTTGGTGACGTTTTTGTGAAAAGTACAAAGTTAAAGGATTTATTAGCGTCTTCGACTCATTTCTTGATGCCTGAAGTGAACGTTTGCTTTTTCAGTGCTGACTTTGTGACCCTGAATGATTGCCTTCAGTTGGCATATCTCCCTTCCAAGAGGAATCACATGCTATTACTCTACCCTCGGGAGATTCTGATCCTTGATCTCGAGGTGAATCAGACAGTGGGTGTGATTGCCATCGAGCGAACAGGAGTTCCATTTCTCCAGGTACTTGCAGTTTGTTAGTTACAAGCCCAAAGGAGACAGATTGTTTGTGACTAAATTCTAATTGTTGTTGTTGTTATGTGCCATCAAGACACCTGCGACATAGCAACCCTGTGTACAACAGCCCTAAATCCTACTCTATCCTGTGCCAATCTTATTGTCTCTGATATACTGACCCCCATTACTCCAGTCACCGAGTTAGTCCACCTCATTGAGTGTCTTTCTTTCCTACATTGTCCGTCCACCCTCCCAAGCATGACGTCCCCCTCCAAGGATTGGTTCCACCTTACAACATGTCCAGAGTATGTCAGACAAAGCTTCAGAATCTTTGCATCCAAGGAACAACCTGTCTTCACCCTCTCCAGGACCAACTTTTTTGTCCTCCTAGCAGTCCATGGTATATTCAATACTCTTCTCCAGCACCACAGCTCAAAGGCATCAGTTCTTCTTCTATCATCCTTAGTGATTGGTCCAGCTTTCCTGTGCATAGCAAGTAACTGCAAAGACCAAGATTGACTAACCATAATCTTGCTTTTAAAGTCTTTGCTTTACTTTCAGCTCTTGGCAGTATCACTTTATAGTCCTTATATTTCTGTGCTTTTAATTGGTTTTAGGTTTGTTCTGAAAATTCTTTTGACTGATCTGGAGATAGTTACTGAGATAGACATCTGAAAAGACAAATTTTTTTTTTATTTCAGCAAAATACTTTTTAAATGTTCATTTAGTAGTGTGTTTTTTTTTTGGCTCATGTTCTCTGAATGTGAGTTTATGAGTTTCATAGTATATGTTTTTGGAAATAAATACATCATCTCTTTTGAAGGTAATACCCTGCTTTCAGCGTGATGGTTTATTTTGCCTACATGAAAATGGTTGCATAACCTTACGTGTTCGAAGATCTTACAGTAGTGTTTTCAGCACTTCAAATGATGAGCCAGGTGAGTTACACATATTATTAATTATATTTTCCTTTGGAATTTTAAAGTTCCATGTGGCAGATAAATGCCAGCCAATTTCCAGAGCTGATTACTGTTTACCTTGACAAAGTGTTAGAAAGATTTAAATAAAAAGCAGAAAAGCATCCAAGCCTAAGCCCTCTCCCTGTCTTGGACTTTTAGCAGTATACCTTCTGTCTACAACAGAGAAAACAGTATTCTGTACTTTCTTCTTGACTATGTCCACGGCCCAAGTAGCTCTCATTTATTTGCATGCACATTACTCTTCTGCAGAAGTTGATCCCACTCCATCTTTATAGGCACATCCTCTCAGGGCTCTGATCTTGAAGGGCGTTAGTCATTTCCATGTTAAAGTGATATTAGTTACTAGATCTTCAGGGTGTTTTGTTACCACTTCCTGTCTTGTCTTGGAGGATGGAAACAGTGCTTTGGGGAGATGAGAGACTCTAAAAGTAGAATTGATTTTCACATCTTGTGTGGAGGATGTTGTCTTCAGGTTTACCATGGTCTTGTAAGGTGCCTTTGATTCAGGTATGACTCATAGCGACCCTGCGAATGTCAGATCTGAACCCTGCCTTAATCTGTGGCGTCTCATCTCTCACACAAGAGCCTGTTGTTGCAGTCAGTGTGTCAATCCACTGAGGGTCTTTCCCTCCTTCACTCACCCTCCACTTTGCTGAACATCATAACTTTCTCCAAGGATCTGCCCCTTTCTAACAACATGCCCATAGTATGTAAGGCAAAGTTTCACGATCCTTCTCTCTAAAACGCATCCTAGCTACACTCACTCCAGGTCATTTGTTCATTCTTTTGGCAGTCCATGGGCTCATTAGTGCCCTTCTCTAGCACCACAACCCAAAGGCATCGATTTGTCTTCTGGTACATTTATTCACTGCTCTACACTCAGCTTAACAGCAAGTAATTAAAAGCTTTCCATAGATGGAAGTTATGATGACCTGATATCTCTCTTGATTCTTTTTCAAAGCATTTTCTTTGTTTTAAAAGTTATGCTGCGTGAACTAACTCAGTCCCACAAGGATAAATATTGTATAAGACTGTTATTGTAGAATGAGTATAAGGATCCTGGAGGGGTGGGAGAGGCTGGAAGCAGGGGATGTGGATGTGCAGGGGGAAGAGGGAATTAATCATTGGGTTATACAATTTGATGGTTGGGAGGGTAAGGGAAATTGAAAGAATTTGTTCAAATTTGTATTAGAATTTTGTAAATAAACTAGTGAAAAAAATATTGAGAACAAGCTGACTTGTTTATAGTATTTACAAGAATAAACTAAGGGTGTACAGTTACTAAGTCAGTCATCTTTATATTCTGAATTAGTGAAGGGCTGATTTTTTTTTACACGTTTAAGCTTTATTTACATTTTAATAGATAATATTAGTATTGATACAGTTGCTTTCAAAATGGTGGAAAGGAAATAATTTTTTGTTAAGATCCAGATCCTGTCCAGGAGCTGACCTATGACCTTCGCAGCCAGTGTGATGCCATCAGAGTGACAAAAACGGTGCGTCCATTCAGTATGGTGTGCTGTCCTGTCAATGAGAATGCAGCCGCGCTCATCGTGAGTGACGGCAGGGTCATGATGTGGGAGCTGAAGTCCACTGTCTGTAACCCCAGCTCCCGGAGCAGGTATGTGAGCCTCTGGGTCCTTCTGTACTTTTATTCCCCTCATTTGATACTAGAAGCACATAAAAAGAATCAATTTTTTCTATGAAAATATTTTTTTATGAAAATATTTTTAATTTT